CTAAACTTGACCGCACAGTATGCGTCATCCCCGGGGATTTTAATAAAATTGATACCACCTTCATGCAGGCAGTTGATTTGACTAACATAGTGGCCTTTCCGACCAGACTCGAGGAGGAACTAGATTTTGTAGTGCACCTGAAAGCACACTCTTTCAGTACTCTGAAACGTTGGATTTTATCTTTGTTTTAACCTTCAAAACGTCCACTTGTTTTACTGACAGCACTTCCGTTTTCACAAACTGATTTCATGAGTAGGGTGCTACAGCGATCCTCGCCGTTGTTGATTTGATTCCTATTTTTGTAACCTGCACAATACAAGTTGGGTTCAGTGGCCACCAGTTTCTACACTGTCCCGTATTTGACACGTTTCTTAGGTGTCCTTGTGTACCGACTGGTATCCCAGGCGTCATCCAACGATTGGTGGCTCCGGTCCAGAACACGTCGCCCGCCGTTTTGTATTTTCATTTTGGTGAGCACGTTCCACTAACTGTGTGATTCATTACCTGCAATTTTCTTGTTCAATCACCTACCACACATCTTATTCACATTTTTCAATGGATTATCCAGAAAATAAGCCATTTTCATACGCTGTTAATGCCTTAGAACCCATCATGGTCAATACTGTTGCGTTAGCCCCTCCACCCTTTTGGAAGATGGATCTTTCGTTATGCTTTTGCACATAGAATCCTCTTTTTAAATTCATATGACTTTTCCTAATTTGCTATGTATAATCAGCTGATATCTCGGCTTCCTTAGAGTTCATCCTCGTAGGTGCGAAACATCATATTCTTCCCCCTTTTGTAATGAAGTACGGGACGCCACAACATGCCGTTATTCAACGAACCAGGCCTTCTGACAAGGTCCTTCTGCAACAAATATTTAGTGAGCTGCAACTAAAAGATAAGATACGTCCAGCCTTCTTGCGAGAAGTGCAACAGCTTATTGACACGCCCAACATGGACATTGGGATTCTCCGGTAGCTGTGGATGCAACGCTTTCTTGAAAGCACTTAGGCTATCCTTGAGTAGCAAGTGACCCGATACTCATAGCAGTTGTAGATCTACCAGACCACGGCATCGAACGGCACTAGTCAGAGACTAAAACCAAAGCACCCATGGAGCTTTGTGTTGGCGCAACGACAACGACACCCACGACTAGCCAGCCATCGGCAATAAACGCAGTATCATGGCAGATAGCGTCACTTCAGCGCTAGATCGAGGAGCTTACATTAAATCGTTAGCACCGTAGCCACTGGATCATCGCACCCTCGCAAAAATCTGATGCCCCAGATTACTGAGTTACCACCCGTGTTTCGGTAATAAAGCCCCTAAGTGCGTACAGAAATGTAGCTACTCCGCTACAGATGATCCGTCGATCAGCTGAGATGCCGGCGTTGGTTCCAGTGACGCTGAGTGTCGTTGCGCGGTCAACTATCTACTGTTGTTTCGCATCGACCAAGAGGTCGAAATGTCTAACGATGTCTATGCCGATAATGGCAAACGGAACATCGGCAATAATGAGCACTTAGCGAATTGTATGCTTAGATCTAAGTTAATGCTTTAAGCGCGTTGGCCGTATGTAGGGATTAGGATGCCATTGGCGATATAAATGCTTACAGTGGCCGGCTGGGTCGTAACCCCAGGTGCGGAGGAAACCACGCTTACTTCAGTTCCAGCGTTAACCAGGAATGTGGTTCCAGATTTATAGTCCTGAAGGTAAAGTAGCCGACTGCTTTTTGATGCGCAAGTGAATGTTAGTCGCCTTTACGTCCGTGCCCGAGTGTTTCCATGTTGACTCAAATGCAACGTGCATGGTGTGGTACAACGTGGGACCTGCACATCGTAGCGTTTATACTATCAGCATTAGTGCTTGCTACCTGTAGAAACCTTTCCGGTAGGTGGTTTGCTGCGTGAGCGGAATGCGTTATAGATAGAAAGCTTATTGCTGAAGTCGCGGCGTAGAACGGCTAAGGCGGTTGTTATGTCTTGTAAAACGGACATCGTAAATTAGCGGATTGAAGAAAATCGTTTGTTTACTGAATGCACATTTCGGTTACCCAACTAATTCCTGTGTAACCAGCATTACGAAATTGTGCCGAAAATAAGCATCTTGAAATTGTTTATTGACTTGGAGAGTACACCTATCAAGGCTCTTCTCAGGAATGCGATTTAAATATATGCTGATATGGTACGGTCTCGTTACATCGAAACTTCCTGTATCAACTTGAAAAGAGTACAATTATGGAGTTCTTGCTTTGTGTACGGTATCTTGTAATCCGAGCGCGTGGGTAGGAATCTGGTTAGGGAACCGGATGATCCACGCACTATCCTTAGCTCACGAGCGACTGGTGGTGGTTGCACGGCAGCGAACCGTCTGTAATGCGTACCGGCGTAGTGCTGATGCACTTCTACTTCGTGGTAGTGTCTGCTCTGGTTTGTGTTCCCAAGAATGGTAGCTCAGTCAGAAATGCAGCCTCGTTACTCTGTAGCCCTGACAACATATGACAACAAAGTTTTTATCACTTGGTCAAGCTTTATTCTCTACTGACGTAGGCCGAAGGTGATTAGTGGAGTCATTGAGCACAGCAGATGGCCATGCGGCAATCTTCGAAAGACATCCCAGTCTCGCGTGACTCCAACTATTTAAACACAGCCACAACGCCAGCCTGAGAGTAAGTTAATTGGATATGAATGAGCGTCATAGCGGTTTCATGCGTAGATGGAAGTAAATCTACATTGATTTCCACAAACTCTAGACCGCTGTCCAAAACTCGGTTCTTCCTAGTCCGACGAGTACATATTTTTCTAGGTGCACTGCGACACTTTTACCTTAACATATCGCTCTGTGAACTTTCGGCATTTTGACCAAAGTTTATTCATCTCGAAATGCAGTGTGAACAATTTTACTTCATAGGTTTCCCATAGGACACATTAGGCCCAACCCCCGCACACAATGCTATTCAGCGCGGCCGTGGATACTTACATGACATATACGTTACATGAACCTCTTTGTCTGACTGCACATAGCCTACTGTTGACTGGGATCCAGTCAAGCAGATCTGATTCAGACCTGGCCCTCAATACAACCCCAATACCAGCTTGACCAGTGGCGGCAGATTCTGGGTCTCCGGAAAGCCGCAAGTAGTATTTGACGTCAGAGTTTACTGGAGAGGCCATTCTGATGACGGCGCTAGAGTTTTTTAATCTGGTCTCTGAAAGACAACAGATGCCTACCGATAGCGTTTCAAGAGTACAGGCCAGACATGGTTGTCGTCCGCACTGCATCAAAGTTCGAGCATTAAACGCTGCGAGGATGAATGTAGAACCAGGTCGAAGAAGAGCTGGAGCTTCGGTGGAGTGAGAGGCGGTTGCGATCGGAGGACATGGAAAACCGGGAGTTTGACTGTTACTTCCATCAGCTGCGAGACGTGGGTCGTTTGTGACGGTGACCATAGAAGACATAAGAGTACATGTAGATGAAGGACGGGAGGTGGGGTGGTCTGCGAGTGGAGGTTGAGCGGTTGAGTTAGGACAGAAGATAGGCATAGCAGAAGCAGTAGTAAGCGGTGTAGTCCATGATTCGTCAGTGGGCGTGATACTACCCGGTTGACCAGGCCGAGGTAGAGTGTTGCCTTAGGGAGCCCAACCGCGAGCCTTTGATCAAAGATCTAACCTACAAGGCAGCAAGGCGATGTGAGGGCGTAGTAACGCGTTGGGAGCAGGTGACCAAATTGATGGTTCATACGCCTTTCGGTCCGTGAAGGACCAGGGGCCCAACGCACCATTAAAGTACAATGTCTCTCAAAGAGGGACAAGCGTCAGTGACTTTATTTAGTGGCCAGTCACATCCGCCACGTCGCAGCGTTGTTAAACGGATATATGTGGCTTTTTATAGGGAGAACGCTTGCCAGGCGAAAACGCACCACGTCCTGGAACACTGCCGCCGAACCATTCACGGGAAAGGAAAATACCCGGGCCACCCACCTGGCACAACAAGGAGGTTGTTTGGCAAGCACAACATCTGCACTACAGATTGTGCATTATATATATATATATATATATATATATATATATATATATATATACCGGATATTACATCTGGGTGATTACCCTATGTTGAGACCACTGCTTCATCTGCGCACACCAAGCAGCACACGAGGACAGAGGTATGAGCTTGTTGTACCGGATTTGAAGCGGGTCGCTCACCAACTCTGTTTCGAACGCAGACTGGTGAATGTCTGGAACGACCTGCCGCAGCAAGTACGGCAGCCAATGTCAGTGTCGGAATTGAAGCAGTTGCTTGACAAACACTTTGCCGACGCAAAATATATTGAGCGGAACACAACATAACGGGTATTTGTCCAGGACAATTAATGCAGCTACACAGAGCAAATGCTACTTGCTGCTTCTAACCAGTAATCAGTAATCAATGTAAGTTATAAGTGGGTGGATGGACTGACCTTGGCCGTGTGTGCAAATTGCAGCCGCGCTTTCCTACGTGTTTAGTCTTCATTTTTCTCACTACTGAGCATTCGTTCTATGGCCCGTATGTACACTCGCAATTTCCATTCTAGTAATTTCCCTAAAATTTCCTGAATCGTCATTTACCTTACCTCTAGATACGCTCATTTTGCGTAGTTACTTTGCATCAGGTCTATAACACACATCAGTTCTTCATTATGAATGCATATAGCATAGTTTCCAGCTTTTCTGACCAGAACGTCTCGCTAGTGTGCTCGGCTAGACTTACCTCGCTACTTAGGTTTTCTTATCTATATCGTCGTAGTATTCCATTCCAATATATCGCTACTTGGAGCCAATTCCTATTGCCTCTCCGAAGATGCTGGACTCGAGAAATTCGCTGCAGAGTCATGGACGAACGACCCGTATTCTGAATATATCTTGAGTATGCTTTCAACATACACGTCTGCATCTCAGAATTGGTTCGCTCGTTACCGGCCAACTTGCTTAGCTGAAGCAAAATCGGGAAACATCCACAATCGGGGAAAAGGTAAGCCATGTATGTGCACTGAGATTTTACACTGACATCGTGCCAATAGGGTGAATTCGAGGACTGAATGAGGATTGGTTGGCATTGGTTGACATAACTTTCTTCTTTTGAAGACATTTTAGAGAGTGGAGGATGCAAGCTAATTGTCTAACTGATTACACTCAGACTCATTTTCGAAGTCTGGGAACTAGGATGAGAATTTGTTTGAACTCCGAAACATTCCAAATGGTAGTTTGAATCACCGGACACTACACGTCTTGCTTCTTGGCTCCCTGGTTCGGGAGCGATCGGGCGTCCACAATGAGTGCACTTTGGAGCGTAGCGTCGATGAAAATCGTCCAGGCAATGAAGTCTTCCATGCACGTCGATGGTGAATGGCTTTGAGTCCAGTCGACCGGCGCAAATAACGCAGGTAAAACAGTTTGGATGATAAGGTAATCCAAGAGCATGCACTACTCTGTCTCCTATAGGCCGGCGGCAGTTAGAGCACGTCTCCACCGCGCCATCTCGAACACAAGTTGGACATAGCAGGCGTCGTAGGCTATGGTAGTATGCGTCCGGACGTAGTGGCGCAGCACATCTGTAACAGGTGAAACAAGCCACGTGTAAGCGCACAGCCAATGCACCTGTCAGTGTCACCACGTTAGGGCTCCCGTTCACAGTTGTCAGACTCGAGTTCAGGGTGGTCCCTTCAGGAGGGATCAATGCTCGCCGACAACGAAAGCAAGTGTTGTATCCCACGTTGGAAGACATCAAGGCGATACCCGGGGCTCCACACAATTCGGCAGAGTTATACACACTGGTCGTCGAACCCGTCGGAGAATCGGTGGACGAGCTACACGTTAATGAAGGCGCATTCCCTGGATTGGCTGTGGTGAGTGGACTACTACGCCCTCCGTTGATGCCACTAACGCCGACCTGATTGGAATTCATCCCCAGGTGCTGTTGCAGGCGCCCGATTTGGCTGTTCAAACCAAGCGAAGGGCTGGATCCACTGCTCCTCCTCAGACTCCCAGCTAAATAAAAGAGAAATGAAGCCAGTTAGTTAGCTCTCGTACAAATGCATAGGGACTTTACTTATACAAACAGACAGTGAGGTATGCAACTGAGCAGCGTATGCGTCCTGAATTGCCAAGCTACAAGATTTCAAATCTCGATAAGTGCTCATGGATCGAAGATGGGAGTTTCGTGGCGATCGTTTTAGCACAATTTGCTGAGTGACGTATACCCAGTGGATTGATCAGCGAACATGAACCTCACAAGTTAAAAGGCGACTGTCTCTCATGCTTGCTTGTCTAACGCACCGCTCACTCGCAATCGATAGGGATCAACTGATTACCACTGCAAAGTAGTTATCCGACGACGTCACAAAGGGCATTAAAACACTAGCTGAGGGGGTTTGTTATGCTGACTTCCTGGACGCCGGGACCGAGGTTGCGCACACCAAACGTTAGAGATCACATCTGGCATAACGCAGTCCCGCAGGCAGTGGCAGTCCTGTACTCGGCGCCTCCGTCCAACCCTGCTAAATTTACCTAGCTTTCTTCCTTAATCCTCTTTCTCGTGTGCTTTCCGCTTTAGCCCCTTTTTTCCATCGTCGCTGGGCGCCGTTATGATAGCAACGCGAGCACTTGTAACTGAACCCACCATATCTTCATTGCTAGGAGCAGATTTGTTTAACTTGGTGAGATGGCCGCAATACTAGCGAAACGTAGGCTTTAATTTGAACCCGATGACCGGGGATGCTTCACGGAAAATCAATACACTCATAGCTTACAAATGAACGGAGGTCAGATAAATCAGACCGTTCCTGAGTCTGGCTTTTTGGAAACAACAACGTCACCCTTGGGTTTTTGAAGTTAGGCAAACGCGGGGAAACAGTTAAGTTCATGATCGAACTGAACAGAATGAGAAATGCACTGCTGTGTAGAACTTTGCCTCACATACTTAAAAGAGTACTAGTACGAGTGTGGACCTAGTGTCCTGGTGTCAGTTAAGCCATAGTCCCCAAACACAGGAGCAGGTATTGCCAGAATAGTCTTCCGTCGCGCATAGGTTCATGGCCCAGGTAGCGACAGATCCGATGATGTCTGGATTCCTCATGCAATCTTGCCCTTTCCCTCTATATTGTGGAAGCATAGTACTATACTTTAATTTCACTTCTTACCACGCCTCACTACCAATAACAGCACATTTACGAACAAACCCGAGATGCGGATGGTTTTTTGTTGTTGTGACAACGTACATCCGTCGTATGCATTAGATCTGACTACCCGGACTCCCCTCATCTGCAGACGTCTTCCTTGATGATCCGTGATGAGCTCTTGCTCGAAATCCTCATCGGGCGATACTTTCGTGTATCCTCCTAAGACACCTGCATTTGCGACCTCCGGATATTCTCCCGATGTTAAGACATTTGTTTGTTGAAACGTTGCCTCCTTAGCTTTTGGTTTACCGCTCCACCCATCTTGCCAAATTCCGACGCAGTAGTCCATACGCATAGCGCAACGCACTTTGTACTCGTGCTTCGCTGCTATGCAACCACGAATAAACGGATAAGCTTACTGGCGAAGTATGCAAAGTGAGACAAAGTGAGAATCAGATCTGATTTCAAGTTTTACGAGTGGAGTAACAGCTGAAAGTTCATCCAACATGGGTGCATATAAATGCGAATTCTTGACTTCAGTTGACTTGACTTGATTAAGGGAGATTCTCCAATCACCAGCAATCGTGCGGAGTTAAAATGTGACCCAGTTTCCATTTGGATTTCATTGTCCCTCAGCTTTACTCCAAGTGTAACCCCGCCTCGTGTACCTCCTTTTAGTGATCAATGCAATTAGGAAGCAACACCAAGAATGCCAGTGGCCTATATTACTTGTCGTGTTCTGTAATCGCTCGGATCACATCATGAATGCGCTTGTATGCACCAATGAGCGGTGAATTCTCAGCATAGGGTGAATCACGTATTCCCCAGTCTGAAAAATGAGACGGACAGACAGCATCTAGCTCTCCTAGCTTTGGGTCACCTTCCGATCCAGTGGCTATAATTTAGCTCACGCTGGTTATATGGGGGGTCAGCATCATGCGTTTGTCGTTGAACGTGCAGGAATTCGATGTGGAAACCGATGAAGATCTGCTTCCGCTACCTCATTCACCGAAGAAGGACACGTTACTGATTGTCACCCATTGCCGAAAGTTCGATTCTGTTGACCATCTCACTAAGATGGCAACCGAGTATATGCCCAACTTTCAGGCTGTTTGTGTGGGATTTTCTCTACTAAACTCGTGCGTCACAGGTTCGTTCCATCGATCAGTGACCCGGCGTAAACTCATTTTGGGTCTCTAGCAGTTGGACAGTGATCTTAGCGACATTTTATTTGCATTTGAGAACGGAATGATTTAGATACTATGTTCTTTTGAAGTACCAACTACCATGTCGCGCAAAAGCAAGCCATAGCCAGGGTTTGCACCGTGCTTGGAAAAATCTAAGGTCGGAAGGCTGCGATTCGGAAAGCATCCATGATACCTGTCACCCCGAACCTACGTAAAATGGTCCCTTGTTTGGTCAATGAGGCATCATTCCGAGACGCTTGGTTACATTTTCTTTACAGTCACACGAGGAGCCAGTGATGTTTTATTCATTGGATAATATCTACAATAGGTTCATCTCTTCGGCTTACGTACCATTTTCCTAATGGGTGAAGAAAGATAACCAACTCATCCATTTCCATGCATCTTGCGGACACGGGTCATTCCTCCCAACCTGGCTGAGTCGTTCAAGGTCATCTATCGACCACTTGACAATCAATCAAAGTTCGATCGAAAGTGTTTACTAGAATCGGCTGCGAGTTTAGCGATCAGACTGCACGAGTCGGAATTGTGTGTCCAGAACAGATTCACTCAGACGCTGTGCTTGACTTGGCCCAGACATACTGCCCCGTCCGAGCCAAGGAATTGTGCACATGCTACAACTGTGACCTAGTGGACAGTGACCAGTGATTATAAACCGAATGCTTTACCGGTCCTTGTGCTGTGTCTATTTTTTGGTCTTTTATGCGTAAAAGTATACAAGCCTGAGGAAGAATTATCGCAAAAATATCTTCGCTTGATAATATTGACTTTTCAGCTATCAATTAGACTTTTTACTAATGTAAAACACCATTTTATTGTCATCTTATCTGTTGAGATCAGAGATTCAACAACCTGAATCAGTCGTCAATCTATGTTGTGTCCTGCTCTCGCTCGTATTAGCTTTCATCCCGTAATGATAATCTTCGTCTTTTCTATAACTTACCTTCTTGAGTTAATGAGAGCAAATGACATTTCTGTATTACAGACTACCTCATATACAAATGCAACATACCAGGTGACACCGTTGGTCCCTCAGTAATAGTTGGTATGCCGGAAGAAATACCCAGTCCAGATGACGAAGACGATCTAGTTTCCATACTCTGCATTAGCAGATTGGTGAGCGCGTCCACTTCGGCTTCCTGATCGTTTGTGGTTGGAGTTTTGTTTACACTGCGGCCAGTTGGTGTCAGTAGGGAAGAGGTGCGATAGGACGATGTTCGAAATGCGGAATCAGCGGCCTCCGGCAGCGGTGTTGACGGATGTGAATCTGATCCGCTTTGCGTACGCTCGTAAGTTGGTGTGGACGAGGCTGATGGTGATCTTGACTGTCCCAAATGCAACACTGGGATGGTGACTGGTTGTCCGGGGCTACTGGGGCGCCCAGTAGAACCGAGGGATCCAGATCCCGGTTTGTATCTGTAAGCACTATCACCCTCAGTGGATGTGCGCATGGGATAAAGCTGCGATGCCTGTTCAAAGTGAGACCAGGATGTGCATACTCCAGTTAGCGGCGTCATGTCAATTTGAGACAGCGATGGACATGTGGTTGGATACATTGGAAATTGTGATCACTCAATGCGAATGCGGCTCCTTAGATGGTATTGCTTAGTGTATTCCGTCTCAGTCTCAATCAATAGCTTGGGGTAAACAAGACCAATCAACGAACCGAAGCTTCGGACTAAGCTATGGGTTAGAAACGCACTAATACTGAGAGAAAAAAGGGGCAATTATCTATTCACGTCATCCAACTCTGCGGGTATCCCAACACTTTCGACCGAAGGTGCTTCGGTCGTGAGACTGAAAGCACCGCGATTGAGCCAACAACGAAGAACAGGTTATCACTTCACGTGCACAACATATATGAAATACTTGCCATCCTCATGCTGGCCCCAAAATGACAGTAGCTCTTAAGAGAAATTTGTTTAAGCAGCATTGTAAACTGGAAGCACACGAGCGGAGGAATGTCGTACACGACTTAAGTGTTAAATTTGTTCCGAAAAATCCTGATCAAACCAAGAAGGAAATTGGCAAGGAGAATGCAACAGTTCAATGGGATTTCAGAAAGCGTTACGTAACATCTGCGGTCTCAGCAGACGGTAATTAAGGGACACACTTTCGACTGAACATACACGCAAATTCTTGCACACTGAAAAACAAGCTACTAGGAGAAACTTCCTAAAGGCTGGTTCTATGACGAACTCTATAAACAAACGCGGTGGCTTCGACCCTGTGTGCAGACTACTCGGAAAGAAGTAAGCCAGGTGAATTCAAACTGTAACTGGAAGCAATAAGAATCGCTGACTGGACAACAAAGAGAAGAGCTTGTGTAACTGCGTCTCGTAGACACTATGTGATACAGACGTTGGGCGCGTCAAGGTCATGCCACACTACCTAGCCTGTGGAGCTGCATTGTGCTCGCTAGTGCGTGATTGTCCATCTCCCGACTAACCAGCGATGCTTATTGATTGGTTCAAGGGCGAGTGCTTAGCTAAAACATGTGAAGTGCGTAAAACTAAACAGTTGATCTGTACCCAGTGTGAACTTCCGATGTACTACCGCCATTGCTTCTACTAAACTTCCATTTGCAATACTATTGTTCTGCTTTCGGTTGAGCGTAACAATTGG